ACTCCGTCACCAAAGACAGCATGCAACACGAATCGTTTAAAATTTCCACAGCCATTTTAAAAATGATCAAAAACAAATCAATTACTTCGTAACTAAGTTTTTATTTCTACAAAAATGCAAAACTGTTCCAAATAAATAATTAACTCATAACTAACTATTCAAAACCTCTCAAATTATTAGTAAAAACAACCTAATAAAATGAATCCAAATTAATATTTAATGTATTAATTTTTTAACACAAATCAAATTATTACTTAAGATAATCTAACAAAAGGAATAGTATTACTTGATTATTTTATATATGACTGCTGATCTTGATGTCCTGAAATTTTTTTTTATTCATATGAATGGTAATTCCCTTGTTAACGACGTTAGTTCCTCGCCACCTCTCGACAGCACGTGGAAATGCATTTTCCCCTGATTTGCCCCTCTCGACTACTGTGGTCTTTCTAGTTTTGTTTCTTACTTTCATTTTTCCATTTTTCGTGGGCAGCTCTGCTTTTTATATTTAAATCTCTTTTGTTACTTCCCATTCACATCTAGCAAGTCTTGAAAATGGCCACCTACTTTTGAGAGTTTGAAATATGTAGACTGTTATTTCTTATTTATACATTAATCAGGTAATAACTTACCACTTCAATTTCTTTGGATTACATATTTAAATGAATAATAATAATTGTCTTGCCAATAGATAGAGAAATTCTTCAATTAATTGGTGCCACACTAGAAAAATATATAGAGAAATAATAAATAAAAACTATACAAAGCCCAATATTAAATAGTAGCTTGTAATAAAAATAAATTGATTGATAGTTCTACTAAATATTTTTAAAGCTTTGTGCCCATTTATAAATTATATGTTTCTTTCGCCAAAATACTTCATGAATGTAAAATTCTGGATCTTCTTTCATATCGTTTTCCTTTCTTTTAAATCTCCCCTTTCCCAATTTTAAAATTCTAATGTTGTTGGGAATATTTCTAAGAAGTCCCCAAAGAATTATTTTACTATTATACTTCAAATACAAGATTTCTGAAATCAGTCTTAGACAATTCATATTTCCGTATAGTTCATTCGTAAGAAGTACAATTCTTTCGCCGGAAACTTTAACGAGGAAAGCGCTTATATTGAAGATGTCTTTCATTCATTATCAATTTTCTCTTTACTTTGGAACTATAATACTGAAATGCGTTCTTTTGAAAATGTAGTTAACTTGTCTGAAGTATTTCTTTAAATAGGAAGGAAAAATTGAAAAGAGAATTTATCATGTCTCGCACATTAATCATTCCTGTCATTCTTCATTCTTTAGCTATCTCAACAATTTTCATTTTACTTTCTCTGCTCATGAAATAAAAATTTAATCCAGCTTCAACAATGACAATTATTTCAATTATTTTTAATGGTATATAGCATCTAAAAACCGAATTTGAAAATTATTGTTTTGAAGAAATCGCGCAATTGGCAGTAAGAAGTACAAAACTATTTTTGATACACAACATATTTATATTAAATTTTAGCCCGGTGCAAAAATGTGAAACTTAGCAAAAAATAGTTTCAAATATACTTAACTCGTTTTAAGAAAGGTAGAATTGGTTTTAAAAAATGTTAAATGAGTTTTTAATGTAACTAAAATTACTATACTTAATTTAAAATATTGGTTTTATAATAAAAGCGTTTTAATTTTAATTATTGTTATTTATGCTTGAAAAATTTCTGAAATAAAAATAAAAATTTCAATTTTCTTTCAAAAAAATCTAAAAAAGTTACTGTGAATTTCATTTAAATTAAGGTAATAATCTAAATATTCTCAGTATATATATATA